TGGGATACAGTGATATCATTTTTGTAAAAAAAGGGGGGAAAAACCCTAAATTTTCTAATACCCTTCGGGACGGTTTTAAATGACAATCCCAGGATTACTCCCCCAACTTACCTTGCCTAAAAAGAATCAAGATTACTCTCAAAAACCCGGGTCACTCTCAAAAACTTTGGTTTTACTCCTACTACTTTTTTTAAAACTCGGAAAAAAGAACTTGGGTTACCCCTACTATTTTTTTTCCCACTCGGCAAGAACTTGGGTTACCCCAAATTACTTGTTTACACTCGGACAAGAACTTAGGTTTCCCTCCAACTATTGTTTACACTCGGACAAAAACTTGGGTTTTTCCCTCCAACTACTTGTTTACCCCTGGGACAAGAAACTTGGGTTTGGGCCCCAAAACTATTGTTTTAAAACTCGGAAAAAGAACTTATTTTAATTTTCCTACTATTTAAATTAACTCGGACAAGGAACTTAGGTTACCCCAAACTTTTGGGTTTCCCACTGGGAAACAAGAACTTAGGTTACCCCTACTACTTTTTTACACTGGGACAAGAACTTAGGTTACCCCAAAACTTTTTGTTTACACTGGACAAGAATTTAGGTTACTCCTACTACATGTTTACACTGGGACAAGAACTTAGGTTACCCCCATCTTTTTTCCCCCTCGGACAAGAATTTGGGTTATTTCCAACTATTTTTTTACCCCGGGGACAAGAACTTAGGTTACCCCCTATTTACAGGGTTACCTGGGTCAAGAACTTATTTTTATCCTCCCTACTTTTTTTTCACTCGGACAAGAACTTAGGTTACTCCTACTACATTTTTTAAAACTGGGCCCAAAAAACTGGGGTTACTTCTAACATCCAGCAAAAACAATGATAAAAACCCAAATTTAATTTCATGAAAACCTATGAATTGATTTAGAGTTCCCCTTATAAAACAAAAAAACGGGCCCGGTTTACGAGAAAAAGATGTATTATGACCCCCAAAGTTACGTCAGGCAAGCTTTTTGGGAAAAAAGGAATATGTAGCTACATCCCCCCAATCTCCCTCCCCCCCCTTTCCCCCTAAAATCCTTAAAATTTTCTTTTTTTCTTTCCAAAAATTTTGACATCAATATAAACTTTGATTTTGTGTTATGCTTTGAATATGGTAATTTTTTATACAAAAACGCATTTTGGAAATTTTAAGACACATGGGGAAAAACAGTTAAGAAACCTTTTTAAAAATTTTTTCGTTACTTATTTGGGCTTTTTTGACTGAAGAGATTTTTCGCCAGTCGGGGGTTTTAGAATTTCCAGTAGGAAATTATTTGGGGGACTTTGGGAAGACGTTTTGTAATTGAGGTGATCAGTCCAGGGACTGTCACCTTTTCCCTGGTGCTAAAGCATCGATTTTATCATTTTTCCCGATGCCAGTATGAGAAGGAATCCACAAAAATTTAAATTAAATTTTTCTAAAAATTAATTCGAAACATACACATTCTTAATAAACTCAGCCAGAAAAAAAATTGTAGTAGGGGCGCCTAGCCCCCCCCTTAGCAGGGGCCTCCATACCATCAATTCCTGCTACATGCAGTGTTAAAGACACACAAAATTAATTTGTTTACCACGAATTTTCACCACACTGCCCCAAGGGGTTTTTAAAAAGGGAATTAGAGGCAGTTTGTCACTGGTTGCGGGTGGGGTGGGGTTTTATACATTAAATACATGCTTTGGGTAACGCTAAGGGAAAGCAAAACCCTTTTCCCTTTTATCCTGGTTGGAAAATTTGGGCTTTGCTCGGGTGTGAGCGGGGGAAAAAGGGAAACTGACGGGCCCTTCAGGACTTTTAATTAAAAAAAAAAATGAGTGCTAGCGCCCCTTTACAGCGCTGCGGGAGCAGGGGGTCAATTTTAAAAAGAAAAACCGAAACATGTATAGAAAAGTCTCCCTTGGGAAGTCAAGGTTTTTGGGGGGGAAAAAACCTCCCCACTTCCCCCGCATCCCGAACACTCACCCTTTCCACGAAATGCGAAAACTCACATTTTTTAATGAGATATACTGATGACAAGTTTTTCCTGGAGCAGCAGTTTTTTAAGCAATGCATAGGTTAGTGAGGGAGTAGACAAACCAAGATAGGTGCGTTACATTCCACCGGCAAAAAATATAACCCCCCTCAGTCCGTCTGGCAGAAAAAAAAAAAAGTCCAAGGGAATTTTTCATTTCCTTTTCTGGGGAAACCAGAAAATGAAAAATTCACGCTTATCGAAAAGCAACAATTTGGGAAAATTCACCTTTGCTGGGGGAAGAAAGTATACACTTCACCCTCCAAAGGGAAAGGAGGCCCGGGGGGAGGGGGGGAAAAAATGGTAAAACCCAAATTTTATCCCGAGAAGAGGGAAAGGGAACTCCCTTTTCCCCTTTAAACATGAACCCCTTTAAGGCAACCCCTCCCTTTTAAAGGGGCCACATTTTGGGGGGGAATTTTAAAATTTTAAATTTCCCCTAATAGGAAAAGTAGCAATAGCCATTTTTTTAACTTGATTTTTAATTTAAAAAAGTTGCTAATAGGGCAGGGAAAAAACCCTTTTTTTTCAACGGAGGGTCGAGCTTTCCCTTACACTTTGCGTGGAAAGACGTAAAAGCATTAACGCTTGCCGTAAAAAAATTAAACATTTCGGGTTTTAAATGTATTTTTCATTTGCATATAAAAAATATATATATAATAAACTCAGGGGTAAAAGCCCGACGGCAAAACATAATTCAACTTTTTGCTACTGATTACGTGTATTTTTAAATTTTAACATCAAAAAGTTAGTTTTTCTAAACTTCCATACTGGCCCCCTGGGGCAAACCCGTTGTGTTTTTGGGTCCAGCAAAGTGAAGGGAGTAAAAAAACCCAAAAGGGGTGGGGTTTTTTAAAGGGAAAAAAAAAATGGGGAGGGGGTGTCCCGGGAGCTCGATCACTAACGCACTCAAACCCCACACACTGAGGGCCGGAGGGCGAAAAAAACCTTCTTTTTCGACTGGAAAAAAAATTAGGGACGTGGGTTTCCCTTAGAAAAAACCCCGCTGTCCCCGTCCCGTTTACCTATCAGTTTAAAATAGGTATGGGATGGGTGCATCCTGGGACAAATTGACCTAATTTTCCCGAAAAAGCCCCCAGCATAAAAAAAGGGTGATCCACCCCCCCCCGGGAAACCCTCCAGGTAGACTATTAGGCAAACTAACTGCTATCATCCAAAGGATATATGGGGGGCCCCAGGGCATAAAAAAAAAAGGAAATCTCTAAACCTCTACAGGGGGGCCCCCCCGTTGCCCCAAAAAAAGTAATCACTTTGGGGACAAAAATTTAAAAATTTATGTTTGGGGCTAAGGGCGCTTGACATATAGGGAAATTTAAATTAAAGATATAAAAATTGAGAGAAAATATCAAATCTGACTTTTTATAAGCTACGTGATAACAAAATCTGTTCTGCACGTTTCTGATGGAGGGCACTTCACCGGGTTACCTTGGGCAGTGTTTGGAAAAAATCAAAGATAAACCTACCCAGATCCCCTTTTTCCCCTGCATAAACCCAAAACAAGGTAAATTGTCCCCCCAGGGAAAGGAAAAGGCAAGGGAAATCTCCCGTGGCTGGTGTGATTTGGGAAGTCAAAAGGGGGATAAGATGAAAGTCATATCCCCAGAGAGGTGATGGGGAAAGGTAAGTCTCTCCAGAGAGGGGGTTTAGGGAAAGGGGAAATCATAGCACAGAGAGGTGATGGGGGGAAGGTTTAGTCATCTACCCGAGAGGTGTTTAGGAAGGGGAGTCATAACACGAAGGTGATGAGGGAAAGGGAAGTCTCTCACAGAGAGGTGATTTAGGAAGTTTAGTCCCTAACATGAGAGGTGATGGGAAGGTAAGTCATTTCAGAGAGGTGAAAGAGGAAAAAGGGGAGTATCTCACAAAGAGGTGATGAGGGGAAAGGGAATCTTTAAACCAAAAGGGGGTGATAAAGAAGGGAAATAAACTCACAGAGAGTTTATTTAGGAAAGGGGAGTCAACACAGAGAGGTGTTTGGGGAAAGGGGAGTCATAAAACAGAGAGGTGATGAGGGGGTAAGTCAGGGCCAAAAAGGGGATGAGGAAGGTGAGTCTTTTTTTTGGGGACGCAACGGCAATGTAATGCCCATTTTTTTTTTGTCAACGTTTCGCCCACCAGTGGGCTTTTTAAGTACAAACCCCAAACCCCCCCTGTGTGGGGAAAAAAATGTCAATTTTAAATCTTGATTACACTGCATTTTTGTCTTTATTAAAATTGTTAAATTTTTAACCATTTTTTCCAACCCCCCGGGGGAAGCTGGCGGGGGAAAGTTTCTGAACTTACAAAGACAGTCTTCTCCCAAAACCCTTTTTAAAAATAAAAAAAACCCCAAATTTCGCAAAGGGGCTAAACACGTTACTTTTGGGCTTTTGAGATAGTTTTTCTATAAATTGCTTTTAAGGGTTTTAAATTTACTTCAAACATAAACCCAAGTTGCTTCCTCGTGCCTGGTGTCAGTTTTACAGTACATCAGTGTTTTTCTTTGGGCAGGGGTTTTGGAACACAAGGGAAGCAGCGGCCAGAAAAAGAGATTGGACTCCAGTGTTATTTAAAGGGAACCCAAGATTTCCCAAGGGAAGCTACTGTAACTTTACGTTTTTGTTTTGGGAAAAAAGTGATACCCATACGATTATTTAAGCATAACATAACTGCCATAAACAAACCATCTGAAATATTTGTGGGAAAAAATATAAATATTTTTTAAAAACCGTTACTAAAAATCATTTTTAGTTTACTTTTTTTAATCATTAATTATATTTTAAAAAATTTAAAATTTTTTTAATACAGCTTCCCATATAGATTATTATTGAAGCTAATTTTAGGCTAAACATTGCATGTCGTACGGGCCTGAGGAAGCCATTGGATCGACAGCGAGCTATTTACACTCTCCTTCTTATAAAAGCAGCTGAGTTTGTTTCCTTTTCTTAATATTTTCAGATAGCAGTGAAGGACAGAAACCTTCACCCAATACGACAGCGGTTCAAGACATATAATATGCATCTAATTGACAAGTGCAGGAATACGAAGGAAGAGAAAGTCACCAACATCTCTCTCACGTCAAACTTCGGAGGTAAACAAGAGGATTTGAGCGAAGATGAGATGAATATTCTTCAGTTCCTCGAGGTAATGACTAAGTTCGGCTATCCGGTTCAGTCGGAAATCAGAACGGCCGCGGAAAACATCATCACCACAAAGAAAATACCTGCTGACACTGAGAAGGATGGAAAAAAATGGAGGAAACAATACTTTGTATATTCAGAGAACAAGGTCCTCATGAATATTTGTAATAGGTTGACGGAAGAGGAAGTTTTGCATCATGTATGAGCTTCTGTGTCAGGAGGAACACGAAGACTTCAAACCAGTTAGACAGCAATTACTGAATCTTCAAGTAAATGTTGATGATTTTAAGGAAAAACAGGACTAAAAGAAACGGCATTTTTCTACTTCGTTATCATACTAATTTCAAATAAGGTTCTAAATCGGCTGTATACGCACTCACTCAACAATATTTTTGTGTTAATGAAGAAGAAACGCGACGATGACCCTCGTATTGACGGACTCTTGGACCAAGTTAGCAGGTATCCTTTGGCTTCTCACCCTCCCGGCCTCTGCATCATATTTAATATGGAGGAGATGCGCGAAGGGTCCTGCTACGACCGGAGAAACGTCAAAGAATTATTTGAGAATGTTTTCAAATACGATGTGCTCGAGGTGAACAACCCAGATAAAGAAACAGTACAAAGTGTTATTAGCGAACTGAAGACACCAAGAAATCAGTTCTACGACAGGTAACCGTATTTCAGTTCATCTTAATCTGAGTAAGGAAGTCTTGTAACGATGTGACAGGAAAACCTTGATATCCAGTTGCCGTTTATATTATTAGTATTAACTGAAAATTAAATTGTCGTTCATTTCAGTATATTGGACTCCAGTACGACGTTACTCATGTAGCTGTTTTGTAAAAATTTTAAATACACAATTGGTCTACCATTTCACGTGATAATTCTGTGACGCCACACAGACATTCGAGCGCTCCTGAATTATAACGCAGAACGATGTTCCACTTTTCAGCCTGGTTGTGTGGTTCATGAGCCACGGTGACAAGACATACTTACAGGTAAAGAATGATAAAATCCATCGACGTTTGGATCTTATACAACCCATTACAGAAATTGGTTGGTTGTTTATGAAGCCTAAGGTCTTCTTCATCCAAGCTTGTGCCGACAGAAGGCGAAAGGATGTGGTAATGCCCACTGCTACAGGTGAGTATATATACAAAAATTCATCAGTTAATCGTGAAACATTTTTTTGTACTCTATTAGAAATTTTTATAATTATATGTGACACTATGAAGTTGCATAATTTAATAATTCAATTCTGCAACTGCTTCATCACAATTTCGTAAGTCAATTGGTCCAGAGAGTAGCGATCACACGAAATTCTCAGGATAAAAGCTTATCTAAATTGCAGAAAAATATAAGGCGACAGCGACAGACGGCAGATCGATACTGGCCAAGGATACCAGTACCAGATGGGAAAGCACCTACGGAGAGTATGAGGATGTGTATGATATCAATCCTTTCGCTGATACAATCGTCGCCTACGCCACCAAGTGGTACCAGAAGGCTGCCAGGAATGACAAAGGTATTGCTATAATACCCTATTAAAGAATGTCCCACATGCTCACGCATTATTCATACTTTGCTGGCTTTCCCAACTTCCATTAACACCCTAAGGAATTTTGATCTTTTGCAGGATCCTTGTTTGTGGACACTTTGGTCGACCAGCTGAGAGAGTACGGTTGCAAGGAGCCCATAGAGAGCGTGTTGCGACGAACCCACTACAATGTTAACACAGTAAAGTTGAGGACAGAGGAAGGTAAACTAAGACAAGCACCTTACTTCGAGTCCTCACTCCAGAAGGTCTTCATCTTCCCGACAATCGACAGTCATTAATTCAAGGTTAACTTGCCATGGTA